GGAATGCACAAACAAAAACTGCACCAGCTCTCTGCGTAAAGGTCGAGTCAGACTACGGCGAACTACATCGCACTATGACTCTCGTCCATTATCACAGTTGCACAAGAAAATAATCTTTTATTTAAAAAATTGCCGGCCATGAGTGCTCTGGCGTTGAATTTGCAACTTTCGTCCTATGCAAAAAAAACTTATAAATTTTCCGGCGAGTCAGTGGCATCAATTCAAAGAAAATGCACGTTATGAACATCATAACCTAATCAGGCTTAACTCACGGCATCGCCGGCTTTTAGTTAACAATAACCTCACAACTGGGTAAAGAACCATGTTCAAGTGAGTATTCGTAAATTTTAATAAAGACGCAGATTTCGCTCTAGCTGATGAATGAATTAATGTATAAAACTGTCTGTTCTCTTACTACGATTTCATGAGAATACTACTGGAGCTAAACCATTTTCAAATTGCTAAACATAACACGATAAAAAAATGCTTTTGGTACCAATTAACGACACCGGAACTCCCATGTCCAGAGCGGATTCAGCTGTCCATTTTCCGGTTCCTTTCTGACCAGCCGAATCGCGTATTTTAGTGACGAGTGGTTTTCCGTCCACATCTTTATACTTCAGTATGTGTGCAGTCATTTCGATCAGGAAAGAGTCAAGTTCGCCTTGATTCCATTTTTCGAACACCTAAATCTGTCGTTAAATATTTACTCATAAATAACAATGAAAACGAATGGATAGGTAAAAGCATGAATGGATAAGTAAAAGCATAAACAAGTCTGCGATATCACTGACTGAGTGAGGAAATTGAAATGGCAATGGGAAACAGACGTTGGTAGAAGAAACATTATCTTTAATTCCAAGAAAGAGCGAACGGTTTGTATGCAGATCTCCAGATCAACGGCAGGATGAGCTTAAGAAGTTCGCTGGATAAAAAGAGCAAAAAAGGCAGATAACAGAAGTTTAGAGCAAAGTTTTGGAAACTTTCACCAACTAGTGGATGGAAAAAAGCTGATGATAATGCTGAAATAACAATTATATTATTGTAAATTCCAAAGTAACAATTACAAACAACAATTCAGCCTGAAGTAAACTAAATACGAAGATCGTTCAGAGACCATCATAAGTAACTGGCTATTTAATCATTTTATTCAACAGCCATCTCCTTGTTAGAATCCATTTAACTGCTTATCGTGAACTCACTGAGCATTTTAATAATTAATTTCTTGTCATAATCATTTTTGTCTTCCACAACCTCATAAATAATTGCAGTGATCAGTTCAAAACATCAATTTGACAAGATCTATCAAACTCAAATGAGTTTCAGTTTTAGTTTCAACAGCTACCCGTAATTCAACCAAACTTGATTACAAAAAATATGGCATCTCTCTTTCACTCCAAGAAAGATATTTTAGAGCGTGCAGAATCAACTGTATCGATCCATTCAGTATCTTTGACTAAAAAAGTGAAAAGAAAATAAGAGTAAACAGAAAAGACGAAAAAGCAGGGAAAGGAGAATAGGAAACGATGACAGAGACTTTACTGCAAGATGCCTGAGGAAGGCACAAGATAATAAAGCATCATTATAAGATGTTGCAGTGTAGCATAAACAACCACAACAAAACTGGTGAGCAGATAGCAAGGCAAATTAGATGACGAGCTCCAGGCAACGTTTCGCTGTAAATAGTACTGAATGAAAAAAGTAGGGGGACTCGTCCAACTACCTTTATTGACTGTGGGACCTTAAACGCGATCATTCAGTCGAAACTTCTTCAGTGGGGATAGTCATGACCTGAGTAAGCTAGCTCATTATTTATAACTGTCGGACATAAACTAGATCATTCTGCTGTTTGAACTCTGTTAGCGTGAGGTGACGATAACGAAACCAACCGACAATGTGCTATACACTGCGGTACAGAATACATGAAACCTACCGCTGCCATTTCGTCATGTGACAAATTCTGCACTTCGCGCAGAAAGTGATACGACTCGCATATGAGCTGCATGTCGCCGTACTCGATGCCATTGTGAACCATTTTTACGTAATGACCAGCGCCATCATTCCCAATCTATAAGTGAGTTTGGAAGTGTTCAGCTGAGATTCAGTCCAGACCAGCCATGGTAAAATACCCACTGACAGCAGGGTTCGTTGTTAACTTTGGCAGCAATCGACTGAAAAATGTTCTTGATGTGAGGCCAGGCTTCAGCGGCTCCGCCAGGCATGAGCGAAGGTCCATGCCTCGCGCCTTCTTCTCCACCGCTAACTCCGCAACCAACAAAGTACATACCATGCTTTTTCAGCAAATTATAACGACGCTAAAAAATGTATGGTCAAAAGAAAGCAGAAAGGCGTATCAATACCTGTGTGTCTTTGTAGAAAGAGTTTCCACCGTCGATTATGATATCATGTTCATGTAAAAGTGGGATAAGAAGCTCGATAAAGTCATCCACCGGCTTTCCCGCTTTCACCATTAGCATAACTATACGAGGATTCTTTAACTTGTTCACCATTTCTTCCAGACTGTTCGCTCCAATAATTTTCGTCCCTTTTGCTTCATTGTTCAGAAAACTGCTAACCTTCGAAACGGTTCGATTGAAAGCGCAGACCTAAAAATAAAAAGCATTAATCACAAAAAATTTAAAATATTTTTCACAAAATTATTTCCTGGTCGAATCACAAAACGTGGGAAAGAAAATGTAGACAAACCTTAAATCCATTGTCGTTCATATTGAGGATGAGATTCTGACCCATCACCGCCAAACCGATCACTGCGATATCCGCTTTTGCCGGTTCGCATTTAATGCCAGAACAACAGTCCGCCGACATTTTCAGCTAAACACTATAGAATAGAAACCAGAATAGGCAGAGACAGTACAAAGCAGAGTAAATGAAAACAGCTTTTATAAAAGTTTGAATTTGTTATGCATGTGTAAAGTCTTTCTCAGAGGTTGTACTCCGCACAGAAATTTTATTTCACATAACTCTGACATTTCAAATCAAGCTTGCTCTTGGAGAGAGGGAACACTATATAACAACAGTATCCAAAAAACACAATCATTATTGCATACTGTTTTTAATGTACCCTGAGGACTGATCAAGCTTGATCGAAATGGCAGTTACACTAAATGATATTTGTACGATAGTTAGCTTGTCGATTTACGAAACTATATGAACATCATCAATAGTTAATAGATGAAATTAATTTGGTGAAATAAAACCGGTGCCATAAATTCTCATTTCTGGCTCAATAAAATCTACACACTTTATTATATTCACATATTGTTCGTTTTCAACGCTCGCTATTCCTTTCAGGTGGCGAGGCAGTTGCCCTAGCAGAGCTTTCCAAGGATTTGGGTCTGCTGCAAAATAGTAAAGTGAATGGCCTGGATCTCAAGGCGCGAAATGCCTGATTCTACTTACATCGAACTATATGAAGCACAGTTAGCCCCTGGGCCATCTTCTGTATGGTTTTGCCAAAAGCGCGAATTGGAGCTTTCACATCACAAGCCTGAATAAATCGCAATTTTGATCTCTCAAATTCGAAAAGTAGTGCTTCTCGAACATGTTCTTAATTTTGTCCAATTTCGCCATAATAACAGTCCTTCAGAGAAACCTCATTTCTGCCACTTCTATCCTAATCACATTGTCGTCAAATCCAGCACTCATGATAATATACGACGGTAAGTGCATGCACAGACTTGAAGAATGATAACTTCGCTCGACATGGCTTCACTGCTTTTTCATCACCACAACCATGTTTAGCTCTTGCATCAAAGCACTCGGTCGCTGATCCATTTGTCATATTTCACGCCTTATCTGCTATCTCTCATGAATACTACGCAACCTCCTATAGCTGTATTCTATTTACTTGCACAGCGCAATCAGTGATCTCATCAAGAGCCTTGAGTTTGGTCAAGGCAAATTAAACAAAAAATAAATAGGAGTAACCGAATTTAAAAAAAATGAACAAAATCACAACGTTGAATCAGTAGAAAACTTTTCAATTGACATGACCCACGTGCTTGAAGCTAAAACTTTTGCAGCCGTTGCCTGTGTGGCATATTAACAGTTACCGCTACATACAACAGTTGATTGAAAGCATCTTACGGTATCTTAAATCATCCATCTGTGATAGAGGAATAATAGACGAAAAAAATTGTGACTCATTTCACATAAATTATGATCGAACGAACATAACGCGGATGACAGAGTAAATTATTTTGCACAGCTGTTTCGAAAACAAAAAGTCCTCAAAAACAGCATATGACGTTAATTCTGAGTATGGCAAATTATTTATAGAAGTGCTAGTTAATTGAATTCTGGGTTTATAGAAAAAGTTGTACGTTATACGCCTAAAAAAACAAGTATTTTTGTAATGCTAGCAGAGAGAGTGACTTAAAACAGAAAACTTGGACAACGCCGTAGAAGATATGAAGCAGTCAAATAACGGGACAGCATGCTAGGGCAAGGAGTAATGACACGCAAAATGAAACCGCTTCATCCCCGATGGCCGTAAATGAAGTTTCCTACCTCGACATGTTAATGACTAGTGCAACAGAGCCCTGCGAATCTGCAAAAGGAAATACAAGAGAAACAGGTTTCTCATAGCTGTTCTGAAAGAAGCAGACCATCGTCACCTTATGCAAATAGATGAATCACGCGCTCCTTTCCCCTGCTCAAAATACAAAGCCATCGAATATATGAAAACTAGCCCTGACATTCTGAATTAACTATCGAGAGTAGTTTTCCTAAATTCATCAAAAGTCTTTTCATGATTACGAATGCAATAAAAGTTGAAAGCTTGTTACCTGAAGATCAGCAAATAATTCTGCATTACCAAATAAATCAGTGATCTATGAACAGAAATTAAAAAAATAAACCTCAGTCGAACGAAAACCGAAAAAATAATCATTAAACTAATGCGATGAACTAAGCAAAACAGCGAATTCCTTCGATACCCACGAAAAGATACACTGACTCACTAATGAATGATGAACGTCCATATCAATCAAGCAGGTTTATTAGCTTCTGAAGCAACAGATAACATAACTGTGCCTATCAGCTATAGAGTTATACAGATGTAAGTCTGAACCAAACCAACAGTAACAAAACAGAAGGAAAGACGAGAAAAGAAAAAAAAATTCGTACGAGAGTTTTTCGAATACTTGTGCACGCTAATTTCCGACGTTGATAAAACGTGCGGGATATGGACAGACGGACCACTAAACACTTATACCTTTCAATTCTGCCTGTATATATCAAGGTTCAAGCGGACGCGGAAAAAAGGCTTTACAGTAACGACACTTCTGTACAATTAGCAATTTTATACAATTACTAATTGCATACTTGTAAACAGACTAAGTGACACATATCAACGACACTGTACACAAAATTCAAACATAAAATAGTTACAATTAACGCCGAACACGGCTCACGTAGATGGCCTATATACAAGATTCAGTATCGTAGCGTCGTGTTTGTTAGCATTGCAGCGGACTGGAACAACTGGAAAGCATGCTACGAGTTGTCCGCAACTAGAAAGGAATAACGAGCTTTGACTACATGAATGCGAAGTTATGATTAGTATCAAGAAACAAGGATAGAATCAGAGAATGCAACATATCAATAATTGGAATGTGATTCGCAAGTTACATCGGTTTACGGTAGTAGTTTCAAATGTGGTATACTTGATGGTCGAACAGGACCAGCTTCGTACTCTTGCTGCAGGCATGCTGTTTAAATTTATATCTTATCGACGTTACTTTCAGATTTCTGAGAATAATTTTATCTAGTTGAATTTTAGCTGAGGCCGTATGAGTTATTTTTTAGCTCTTTGCTTATGTGTTCTGATGGAACCGCATCAAAAGTGTATTATGTTACCAGCTTCAGGTCCAAGATGCTTATTTAGATACGGACAGAGATCGCTTACCCGCGTATAGTTAGTCTTGTCTGAACCTCGTTTTACCGTGTTAGCGCTATTCACATTGAAAGTAGGACAAGACTTCATTATGCAGATGACACCCGTCATAAACTTAACGCATTAAACTTTTAATTACAAACATTCTATAGGAAATATTGACCCAGGAGTCGGCTCTAGCATCTTCATCGTTACGCTCAACTGCTTAATGTATATGTATGTATATATTTAATATATATATATGTATATATTTTTGGGCCAGAGAAACATTAGACTGGGTTCCAAGAGTCCGTAAACTGCTCGTCCGAAGTTCTTTAGATCTGTGTTTGGATGTGCGGAAGAGGTTCATTGGATCAAGATAGCAAGTCTATCCTGGCCGACCCAGCTCATTCTTTACATCAGTTCCTAATAGCGTGCTTACTGAACATTCC